GAAAATTGTCACAAGCTTTTAAGAAATAAAATATTTTCAAAAGTGATTGTATTTTCACTGTCTTAGAGTGAAATTTTACTGCAAGAAATTTACAGTGTACTTATTATATTAAAGTATTTTTGAATTGAATTTTAAAAAAACTTTGTTATCATATACGTTAATTCTAATAAAATCAGATTTAAAGGAGTATTTAAATTTATGATATATATAATAATATATATGTATATAATAATTATGATATATATATATATATATATATATACAGGGTGTCCGGAATTTAAATGCCAAAACTTCGGGAGTGTATAGAGGATCGATAAATTAAGAAAAAAAATCCTGTAGAGATATGTTCGTTTTTGTACAGAAAAAAAGACAAAAAACATAGTTGCTTCATTCTTGCATTGCCTTTGAAGTGTTATCGTCGCTGAAATCGTACAATTCGTACATGAAAACAATAATAAATCCGTTTTAAGGTGAAAACATTTTTTGTTAGTTTACATTTCTGCCTTTCTTTTATAAATTCGTCAGTTACTCGTCAGAAACTATTGAGTGAATTACTCTGGTCACAATATACCGCATTCTAATCGAATATGACATGGTTTTCGTGTATGGTTTCTACGACGGTAATGCTACGGAGTGCGAGAGTATATGCACGCCAATTTCCTAACAGAAGAATCCCGGATCGGCGAGTCATTAAAATAGCTTTTAATAGGTTGCGAGAAACCAGCTCGTTTTTAATTCATTAAGATCTCATCACTTTGATAACAATCCTGTTATCCTATTAATTTTTTTTTCAAAATTGTGACTATATTGTTTCAACATATGTACATACAGCGTGTGTTACAAATCGTGATATACAATCATAACGGAGATGATTTCTAATGCAAAAATAATGGATGGAAAAAGTAAATGGAAAATATAGAATAAAATTTTTTCATATAAACTTGTTTCGAAAAAATTGAGTTCAAATATTTATTAAATATTTTTATTATTCTATTAAGCATATTGTATAATAATATTAAACATATATATAATAAACATATGTATATATATAAAATATATTCTTATTAAACGTTCTTATTATCTGACTCTAAGTTCCATTTACAAAACTTTACTCATATAATTGATACTCGTTTAGATAATGACTATCCTATAGATTTCTTTTTAACACAATCAATTCAAGGATAAGAAGACTCATTAAAAATCAATTTAGGACAAACAATAATGTTAATAATGAATCGGAGGTAATACAACCTTGGTTTTTGATACCATCTAATATATCGTGGCGTCGAGTGGTTCACCGCTCTGTGCGATTGACTCGCGATTTGTAGACCCGAGTTCAATCCCACGTGCGCCCAAACGCGATTTTTCGCGTTTAATGAGCCAAAAAATGGCTCCATCTGGTGATCAAAAGATCTATGATCATCAGCGCCGTTCGGATTCGGCGTTAAACTGTAGGTCCTATACATCAGTATACATCAGTAGTATACATATCAGTAGATATTTGTCTCTAATATCTGAGTGAGGTAGGATTCTGTGGACCAATCACCCACAAATCCGAAAAAAATCTGATTCGAGAAACGAATATAGGCCTCGGACAAAAGAGGTCTATAGACGTCCTATGCTCCACATAAGGAGATAAAAGGAGTCGTTTATACCTAATATATCAGATGAATTTGTAAGAATCAAGAAAGCGCTCGGTGCAAAAGTATCTTTTAATAGTATTAACAAGTTAGATTCAATTGTCAAAGTACATAAAGATTTAGTTCCAAAAAATAATTTAAGAAATGTGATATATAAGTTAGTCTGCAGTAACTGTGATGCTTCGTATGTCGGAACACAAGGACGTACAAACAGGACGTAAATTAAAAACTAGAATTGCTGAACATCGCAATTATATTAATCGTAACACTGATACACAATCCGTTATAACTGAACATAGATTGAAGTTTCAACATGATTTTGATTGGCAAAATGTAGAAGTACTTGATTCTGAACGCTTTCTTAATAGAAGATTGATTTCGGAATGTATTCATATTCATTTACAAAACAACGGCTTAAATAAGCGTACAGACACTGAGGGTTTACATCAGGAATATAAAACATTGTTAAATAATTATAATAAATAACAAGTTATCAAAATTATAATATGTATTTTTAAATAATTAATTTTAATCCTGATTATTGTTAAAATTGACGTTTTACATTCTCTGTGACTTATACAATTGTATATTTATTTTTTTATTTATCACTCATGACTCTTTTGTAATAAAAGTTATTATCTATAGTTAGTTTTGAATTGTATGTGAAGTAGGAAGGTTCATAATTGATATCATGGTATATGTGTTAATTTTGAAAGTCTTTAATATCCGACATAAGCATAGTTAAGATGATTGATCTAAATATCTTTAATTGATTCTCAATTTTTATACTTATGACAATCTTTGGATCTTGCAAGGTGAGTTTCATCAAATGTAATTTTACAAGATAATTTTAATTATTTACTCAAAAACAATTTGTATACATAGACATAGTTCGTCTGATCTGTCAATTGGATGAGACTCACTTGCTAGATGTAATGATCATTTATGGATATCTTTGACTGAAGATGACTTAAAATAAGTCGAAACGTTTTTGAAGATTTTATTTGAATAAAAGGATTTTTTAAGGATCCGACTACTTTTTGTTTGCGACCCAACAACATCGCTGTACTCTCATTCGTCTTTGAAGAATTATTTTGTTTATTGTTTGAATTTGGAGAGTACGTGAGAATTCACATTAATTATATATTCATTAAATACATTTAACTAATCACAATCTTTTTAGTTCACCCAATGATTATCCCCAATATTTCTATGTCTATCTAGTTTGTACTTATTGTATTAATTAAAAAATTGTTAAAAATGTGTTTATATGAAAACATTTTATTTTATATATTTTACTTTTATACGAGGAATCATTTCCTCCTCAGTTGTATCACGATTTCCAGAACACCATGTACATCTAATATATTTGGAGTAGCAATTGTGTATTTAAATTACAAAATAATACAAATTTTTATATTACCGTACATACGTGCCGTTAATGCAGTCAAGCATACATTTTGAATGAGGCTAGGTAAAAGAGGCCGGAGTTTTAATGAAATTGTTCACACTGATGAGAGTAACGAGCATCATAAGGGTTCTCATGTAATGTGCGTACATATAAAAAAAATCTGAAACGCAGGCTTGTCGCGCACGTTTTTATTTTTTACTCTTCGTCAGTAATCTCATTGTGACAGCGTGATTAAGGTTCTCGTGGTTTAAAGTGTCACTTCGACCGGAATAATTGTAAAAACACAACACGATCCGAGACACGATCCGTATAAAAGCACTGCTTTGTGGTTTCACGTTTTAAAATTGTACTTGTTTTATTTAAATTACAATTTTCATGACGATTTCGTGATTCAATGTTCATAATTATCAACTTCCCTTACAATCTGAATCTAATTAATAATTCGCAAGTATCGCATATTTCAAAATACTAAAAATTTGCAAAAGTCTATAAATATCATTATTATAAATCGTAAACTAATATTTCGTCTATTCATCTTTCGTATGTTCCCGTTATAATTATATCTCACATTTGACTGAAAATTACTTTCCATCGGAAAGCCAAGCTATGATGCGTAACGAAATAAACTCAAAAAGCCCTGAGAATCACAAAGTCTCTTTTTAGGATGTATTCACGTCACTTTGATTTGCAACAGAAAATTCTTTCAGATTGAAACGCGCCAATCTCACACTGCGTGATGTCAAAAGAGAATATTTGAGATTGAGAGTTTGAATGAGATTTAACCAGATACGTCCATCGTCGATTGGAAACTGTGACGAATTGGATTTTCGTGATTACGTTATCAAATCATGATAAATGAAATTGTTTATTAATCATTAATAATAGCGTTAATTTTTTTATATTAATTGTTTCTACATTATAATATGTACAACCAAAAGCCATTCTGGAAACATAGTTATGGGAAAATATACAACAAGTTTTTTTGTAACTTGATTATTTATAAGCTTGTTGTAGCGATATATTTAGTTATGTTCTTTTCGCAAAGTGATCTCTTTGATCACAGTCGGGAAAATTGAGCTTATCTCACGCCACTCGCTTCTTCTTCCATGGTTTAAGGAGATCAAGCACTTGGCATTATCGTTGGATATCTGATCGCGCGGATAGCTTATTTCGCTTCATTTGTCGATCTCCGTCGATGTCCCATTACGAGTCGCAAGCTCTCCATCCTGATGTCCGTCTATGGTCCAGCGGATTTGAGAATCAACGACCCGTTTCGTGAGATACGGTGCCACGACATTAGCGACCATTCGGACGTCCCGCCAACTAGTGAACTCTAATTTGCGGTGCCCGCTAATTGAGGGACGAACGCGAGACTGGCGTGATTGCACCGGCGGATAAATGAAGAGATTCTCGGATGCGACAGGACCTCGCGTTATCATGGTACCGAAGTTATAACGCAATAATAGTAACAACTCACAGTACTAGTAATTAAGTTATCAAGAAAAAATACAAGATTTTAATGTTTATTATACGTAAGTTTTTAAGATATTTGAATAGAAATGTCCGAAACGAGTTTTTGTTTCAAGTTTGCTTCGAAAGGAATAAATTCTGTGCAGACTCATATAAGATCACCAGCAGTTACAACGAAACCTTCGATTGATGATCAACGTTATTAACAGCCAAGGTTCTGTCAATCAATACTGAGCCATCACTGGCTAAAATGACTGGGCCAGTATCATCTACCAGTACTGACCCAAGTTATCATTCAGTACTTAGTACTGCACTAGTAGTTTGCCAATACTGCGCCAGTACTGAAACTGTGGCAACCAATAATGGCTCAGCACTGGACTGATTATAAAACCCTAGGAATATATTTCGGCGACAATGTCATTTGCATATATAACCTTTTATTTACAAAATAGAGAATGCTATAAAGGTAGAATACTTGCCTGGCGTGACGAGAAGCGCGATGCCAAGGAGCAGAGCCCTCGTCGCCACTTCCACGATTCGTCGGAAGCCTCTGTGACACCACCGTAATCGATGCCTCTTCTCTTCGTCGTCTTCTTCCGCTTCATCGTTTTTACTCGCGTGCTCGAAAAGGCCCAGACAAAGCCGCAGCTTCCGGTACACCGCACCGATCTCATCTGATTCGGGCATGCGTCGCTTCAGAATCTCCTTTTTTTCAACCGCTTCGCTCTCCTGGCGCCTGTACGATCGCCGGCAGCCTGTGCAGGTAGGCTGACCGGAAGCGAGGATCGCTTCGTGGTCAGTCCTCCTAAATGAAAGTCGTTCTTTCACTATATATAAGTGATTTGACCTCAACACTTATATCTTAATTTATCGATCATCAATTAAGAGTTTTTTAACATAAATAAATAATATACATAGACTCCAAATAAAATAAAGCACTATAATAAAAAACCAATAAAAGCCTGTGTGAAAGTTTTTTCGACTCACAATTAAGTATTCAGTTCAAATACTAAAGATCGTTTTGGATCATTTTTATCTTTGGATACTATATTTAAGAAGCTTTACGACGTGACATATTAACAAATTGTTCATTAGTTTAATATCTCCGTTGTGTTAATGTATGCGCAATTAGTATTAATTTTGTACTGAAGATGATCCCAGTCTATTATTTAATTTTAATCAATTTTCGTATTCTCTTACATAATTTCCATCCAGTGTTTGCTTTTATGAGTTTATTTTTTATTATGTGATAATTTTTATTTTATTTAGATCTTCTAACAAAAATTTTATAAATCCTTTTTTTATCTGTATGTAGAGTGCCATTAATGTTATTAACAAAAAGATGAAACATAAGTTTTACTTTTTCACTTTGCACACGTTTCATGCTACATCTAAAGTAACTAATAGGAGAAATGTGCAAAGCAGACTCGACCGCTGAATAAATAGACCGCGTTTCCTCACCGCGACATCCGCTATCAGTTACCTGTCCTCGTAGTCGTCACACGCGGCGTTCTCCTCGGTAGCATGGTAGCTGTCGTGCCTTAGGGACCGCAGACCCTGCGAACAAGTTCCTCCGGTACACTGGAACTCGAGCCTTCGCCGGAGGTCCGTGGCTTGTAGCCCTCCTCCGCCCCCCATACCCCCGCTCCCATAGTACCTGCAGGTATAAGCGGTCGACGTCCGCGTTATAGCTATAGCACACGCGGCAGTAACAATCATCCGCCGGTCTCTCCACGGAAGGTGAGCGATTGCCGGTAAATAACATGTCGCTCAATATGTCGCACAAGTTAGAAGTACTCTCGGCGAATAAGGAGTCGTCTTATATAATAAATTATAACGCGCTTCAGAAAGGATATAACAATATCACGAAATGACAATGAATAACGATTGCAAATTTATGCAACAGTGTAACGTTAAACATCACGGCTGATGATGAATTCTTCTGTACGTAAAAAGGAGTTATTGAATAAATTTAATTTTACACATAGAATATCATTATATTGCTAAGAAAAGTGATTACTCAATTTACCGTCTCCTTTTAAGTATAATAATTATTAAAAAAAAATATTTTCTTGATAATAATTTTAAAATATTTCTATTACAAATTTTAAAAAACTTATGTAAAAATAAAACTCATTATGTCAAAATAAGAATTATTTGTTCTTGAAGAATATCATAAAATTGATAGCAAATCGTATTTATTATTTAATAATCTTGATTAAAGTATTAAATTTACAAGGATTCAGAATATATTTTGAATAAATTTTCTTATGATTAACTTATGATAGATTTACGGATAATAAACTTTAAAAAAAATAAGTAATTATTATTTGCGTACAGTATTTTTCTATGTGTAATTTCTTTCAAAAATTTTCAAACCGGTTTCGTATTGCTTTAATTTGTTTAACATAATGATTTCTCAATGAGATTCTCGATAGTAAGAAGCTCGCGTTAAGTGCATAAGCATTACGTTTGAGTTAATAGAGATAAGTTGTATGTAAAACTGAGAGAGAAGGTAAGGCAGTGGATTATCCGGACATACATCTCTTTACGAAAATGAGTCTGAATAGTCAATGCTTAGCGAGCTTTAGACAAGGTTTGATTCGCTTATCCGGTTTTATCCTACTTTGTTGTCTTATTGTCGTAAATGAAATCTGCTTACCCCTGCCGCTCCGCCACCACTACCGCTGCCTGGATCGCACGCCCCCGATGCCGATTTTTACGAACCTCGCCACTTCCTCGCCGTTCTCGACAGGCACTTTAACCCCCGCAATGTGTCGCTCTCATCACCTGCAATATAATGAAACACATTTATATAAAAAGAAATATATAGGTTACATATAAAGAAATATATTCTTCATTCGTTATAGACATTAATTGAGAAATGAGTTTTACTCGCTTTGTTCGTTAAGAAAAATATTAAATATTATTATTAAAAGTGTATAATATAAATATTACTTATTAAAATGAAAAAAATTGTAGATTTTTCTATATTATATGAAAGTAATACAATTCGATAACGATATAGAACTTGAGGATAAAAAATTATTTCCATAAGATGTATTTTTAAAAAATAATTAAAATAAAATGAGAGAAAATTTTAATTCAAACTATAAAATTATATTGTTAAATAAATTAAATATTAACCTTATTATAAACAATTTCATATGTATACAACATTCATTTTTATACGGAAAGTATAAGTTTCCAATTCCACTGATTCTTTGTAGAGATTACATGCATAATACAATCTTAAGTATTTTATTGTAGTTTTATATTATATGTATATCAATTGTATTATTAATGATTACATATACATCTATAATTATATGTATCATTAATAACATAATTATGCATATAATAGATTCTATAATTATGCGCATAATAAGCATAATTCTTAAGGATCGCGCATTATTAATTGTCGCATAGGGATGAATCATTATTCCATACATTTGCGCGGTCACCTATTATTCTGTGGTTATGGTTATATCTTTGTACAATAACCATTAGCACACGTGTGGCCGCGCATTCGTACATGTATATGTACAGACGAATGAATCCTTTGGTAGATAGTTGAAATTCCGTATAGGCGAAACATGAATCGATTCGATTAGCAACATACGTGCTCAGATACAAGCTTGATTGATTCAATTTGGGTTCCGGTCTCTAGCAGTGCTTAGACAGAGGTAAATGCTCCGAAGATAGACTGATAATTATATCACGTTTGGAGGCTGCCACGTGACCTGGCACAAGCAAGGATAGAGCAACATTAAATAATCCAGGACACGAGAAATTAAATATGTCCAACCCTTGAAGCATGTGACGTGAGTCCCATAACTTAATCAGTTGATTCTAATTTAATGTCTTTAATGGCTTTTCCAATTTAATGTCTTTTCAGTGCTATCGCGGATGATTATAAATGTGCCGTGCCATTTGAGCGCGCCATGTATTTTTACGCGCGCATTACATATCAAATCTATATTCCAATCGAATTCGATTTTGGATTAAAAAAAAAATTGATTGCTGTAACATCGAAATTTCAATGCTGTTGACAACTGAAAAATATTTTGATAATTCGATGTAATTACATGTGCGACAACGCTGATTGTGAAGGTAAATTCAATAGAATTGTAAATTAGCAGCGATTGCATTTGATGCTACAGTGCTTAACTTCAATGCAGAAAGTAGTCGCGATTTAATGCAAATTATATTACGATATATGCATACGATGTATTACGGTCACGGAATAATGGCGCGCACCGGCCCTACAGATTATTTATCGTGCGTCAATACGCGAAGATTTTACTTCATTCGGAGCACGTTCATGTAATACTAACTCCGATGGGAATTACGACCATTCTGCTAATAAAACGGCCGTACTGCCGATGTAGAGAGCAGGTGCGTATTAGACACTCCCATTCGGTGATTCCGCTGAGTCCGTATCGAACGAATGATAAAACGAATTTCTTTTTATCCGGAGTTATTAATGGAGCAAGTCTCAAAATGTTGAACTGAAAATATTGTAGAAACTGAATTATTTTTAGCGCCAGGTATATAATAATACTATTTTATAATGGAAAAAACTAATTAGATAATAGATAAAACTAAAGGCATTAATTTAATGTATTTCTTTAATAAATAACGCAATCTCCGCTAGAGAAGAAACTGGAAAATTAATTTTTGTATTAAATGGATAAGTAATATAGTAGTGCTGCACAGTAATCTGCAGACGAATGCCGCGGTAAAGTTACATCGTAAGCTTACAGCGCTCTTATTTATGATCACCGTCGACTACTAATGCTGCAACATCAATCAGGTGTTGTTATTCATTCAGTGCTGAGCCAGATGGAAGATTAGACGCTTGCACTTCCTTTAAGGATTCATACAATAGCAAGTGGAAGTTAAATTCCTTAACGCGTGTCATCGCAATTATCGATTAATGATGTTCTCATCAAACATTGTTATTCCCTCATTATAATTTATGCGTGATATATACATTGCCACTTACAAAACTTGTTCTGTATAACATGGTTTTAACATCGCTTCATAAATAACTAATTGCATCTCATGCAAGCGTTATAATTTTGCAGTTTTTGAATATTGTATAGAGCGTTATAATGCTAGAATCATATATTTTTGTATTACAAAAACAATGTAACAATTCACGAGATACTGCACGAGATAAACGCCGCAAGTATTTTCTGTCAGGTTAAAGCGCGTCCAGAATTGACTTTTCGAACAGACATTGGTTACCTTACTATCTCCGACTTTATAGCCGATATTATTTCCAGAGTAAAGTCACGTTTTACTACCTCGCGTCAAACTATCCTAACTCAGATGGCGGTGGGTTAGAGATTTCTACTTCATGACCGAGATTGGAGCAATGAAGACCGCAAATTCCGAGTCAGTTTGCAGATTTAATCGTCGGCAGCTTGATCAGAAATACGAGAAATTGCTTTTTTTGTAGATTTATTCTTAATTTGTAATTGTCCTGTTACCACATTTTTTAATTTATCATGTTGACGCACTTTCATTATTAACCCTAGAATATCCTATCGTTATTGAGCATACAATATTCCATTCCAATCAATACATAAGTTTTTTTTATATTATATATTTCATGCTTTTAATGATAAAATATTTATAATCTAGGTTTTTATATAAAAACACAAATAATGCTTATTCAAATTAATTATTAAAAAGGGAAAAATTGGCATAAATTCTATCTTGAAATATTATAGAGTATGCAGTTCAATTGTGTGCGTGTATCTTCTCATCATGTTCTGTGATGATCAATATCTACAATACACTAGAAAGTTCAAATATATAATATGTGTGTGTGTAGTAGACAGAACGTTTAAAAACGTGTCCTAGCTTTTAGCATGACAGATTGAATCTCTACTGAAAACACAGCTTAACGAGCTCAATAACCTCGCTCACTGGTACGTAAAATTTACGTATCAAGTATTCTAGGATTAACAACTAGGATATATATTTTATTGATCGGACACAATAAGTCGAATAGAACAACTTGCTACGTGCAAGGGAATATTTATTGTCTTTCTCATAAATATGGATTCAAGCAGCTCGGAACAACCGCGATCGATTTAATAGCGCGGAATGACGAGTGACCTTTAGACTAGATTCCGCGATTGTACTGGCTTGCAAGATGAAGTCATTTTACAGTCGGAACTATTTCCAAGACGAGTATTCGTACCAGCGTATAGTTGACGGAGCGTACCTATATCTTGCGTGGCTGTCACCTTAAAGAGAGGAATGCCGGAGTGAATGGTACTACCGGTGCTGATAGAAGGTGTTGGACTGCACTATTTGAACAATGGCACATGTCGCCCACGCAATTGCGGCTCACTAAAGGGGCTATGACACAGACTGTCATAACTCGTCTTCATGTTCCTGGATTATTAGGGCCGAGCCGGTGGGACTGACCAATTCTCTCTCTCTCTCTCTCTCTCTCTCTGCCCCGCGTTATCCTTTCCTTGTACAGGAAGCGGTCTAACTAATATTCACGAAGCCCTCCATATAACACTCATGTTCGCTGGTGCTGTAAATCGAACCGACCGTGAGAGTTCAGTATCGGATGTGTCGACAGCTTAAATTTCAACGTATAAAGTAAACGTAAGAAAATGGCTTCACGACATCGCGTCCGCTTCGGAAAAATATTTTCACGACGTGAGTCTTTATACTTTTATAACACCGAGCTCATCGTCTATATGCGCTGCCCTGAAAATATTCCCGGATCTTGGAAGTAGATAATTCTGACTGCGCGAAATGATTTTGTTTTGTGAGCCACGTGTGTCGATAAAATTGCGGAATCTAATCGGAAAGATTACTTGTCATTCCGCACTATTAAAATTCGAGTTATGAAATGCGGAACTGACATCGGTTTTATTTACGAATTATAGATATATCTCGTCACTTTTCAAACGTTGCTTACGGTAAATAATACGAGAGATCGATATCGACACAATCGATTTGCTCGACGAACGTGTTTCTTCTTGCCCGTACCGCAATCTGCTTCAAGGCCGGAGCGCAGACCTTTGCATAATGCATAAAGCATAAAAAAGAATTAATCAATCAGTCTTTTATTTCATGGAAGGGAAGGAGAGGAAACGAAGGGTATCGAATGGTTCATTTTCTTATGCGTTACGCAAGACCATACTTCCGCCTCTACGCTTCCGCCCTTAATGCAATTCATTGCACTACTTCATTCGAATGCGCTGTCATTTCGGAACAAAACAAAACAGTCGGCTAATTGGCTCGCGTCAGGGTTATACGTCCCATGTGATTTCATTCATTATCGGTGTCTCGGTTGACGCAACCGGAAGCGAGGAAAGTATTGGTGCGCGCTGGTGTGTGCGTATCGCGCGATTTTTCGGTCCCGTTTTGTACGTCCGTTGTTCTACCGCGTTTCAACGTCGACATTTCGTTGCATTTCGCGATACTGCATGCGCACGTTTTCCGAGGTCAATACGCGAGACGAACGCGAGTGAATTACTCGCGTATGCGTATGCTAAATTGCCGAAAGTTTTCAGCCAATTTCACTGACGCGCACGAACTTCCATCTGTACAGCCGGAACAACTATGCATGCGCCCGGAAGTTCGACTGTAGATCTTTATTGTTTGTTCCGTACGTGCTGCGTGTATATCTGTAATATATAATCATAGATGCATGCAGATTCGCTTTACATTTAATTCATTCGATGCGAAATTGCGAGCAATTCGTGATTTGAAAGCGCATAGCTCTCTTGAGATTATATACCATAAATGTC